TTCCTGCCCTAAAGAGTGCCCCCCACCCTTCCTGCCTGTTGGCAGCCTTAACGCTGGCCCTCACCCCCCGGGGCACCTCGCCGCTCTTTTGGCCTCAAGTGGCCTCAGTTGCTGCTGATCTGCAATGGATGTAAGTCAGGCAGCAAAGGTTTCTGACATATGATCCAGCATCTGTGATGTCACCAACAGCTGACTTGTCATAAGACCTTTGTGAAAGGGGGGAAGTAAGGGATGAATGAGGAGAAGGTCTTATTTTCAACAGACCCTTAGCTGGAACGCTGAGTGCTTTTGCATCAAGCTGCTGAGATTACAAACTGAATGACTGCCATTAGAGAGTGATTCTATAATCTATTATAATACCATAAGCTAGGGATTGACAGACTTTGACCCCACTCGCAGGTGTATAATAAGCCCCATTCACTCTGCATATGCTCTGTGAGAGAGGGTGCATGTGTGTGTGTCTGCTAATTCCTACCCCCAGGGGCATATGTTTACTCCTTGTTCAACAAAGCATCATATTCATTGCTCAGGGGTTGAGAGGTGCATAATCTAAGCCTGACCTTCAGCCAGTTAACTAACTGACAGCTTAGAAGGGTTGGTGGTGGTGGTGGTGGTGGTGGGGGGTTGCATAACAACTTAAGCCCTAACTAACAGTTTCTTAATATTTCCATAACGAAGGAGATATTCACTGCGTTGTAATATGGGACGCACTGTAAAGAATATAGATGCGTGGATATTGTAGAGGACAGAAGGAAATTCAAAGGCATTTAGTCCAGAGGAGGCTGTGACCTTGTCAAAGAACAGCAAAAGAATCATTTAGCAAGAATTAGTTATAGTAAATGAAAATGGAAGGTTAGATTCAGAAACAACATGAAGAGCATGCCCTACTCTTCTATCAAATATGAAATGTACTGGACTCGTCTCAAGGTAACTTGTGCAAAGAAAAGTGTGTTTTTGCCATCTGCCGCAGCATCAATTGCAAACAAGGCACATCATTTTCAACATAACTCTGTTACCTCTAAATTTTAACCTTTAAGAGAGAATGAGGGACGCTGCAAACAGAGATGCAGATACACAGAGAGACAAAGAGGCTACAGCAGAGCAGGAAAATATAAACAAAACTCCATTCATATGTTGCCTGGATAATTGTTGGAAATAAAATGATCTCAAGGTCTGTGCAGTGGAGGCCACTTGCCAGTCTCTTACAGTCTTCATTTCTCATCAGATGAGGTCTGAGGAAAGGTTTGTGTCATCATTTAGCCACTCAAACATCAACAATGCTCAGTTCAGCCTCGGCCGTCATGCTCCAACATTCCTGCCTCCTTCCCTCCTGAGCTTTACAAAAGTCAACTAACAAGTTCACGCATTAGAAAGGCTGAGAGCTCAAGAGAAACGAATGAATGTTTGCACCATTTTGAAGGTCTGAATATTTCAAAAGTGTCCATTTACTGTCCATGAGTGAGCATTCAAGAAACATATTTTTCATTTTGGTAAAGAAAAACACATAATTGGTTATTTTAACACTAGTGATTTTATGAAACACCTGGTCTTTCTGAAGAGGTTTTTAAATAGTTTCTAACATATTGATACCTGCTTTCTTTCAAGAAATGAATTAATAAAAGGTTACATTTAAAACTGTTGGAATTCAGTTTTGTATAAAGACCTTGGTTTTCATAGCACATGTCTTTTAGACAAAACTCAGCAAATTCATCTAATACTTGTCCATTCTAATGGTCGTTATGTATTTTTTGACAAAACTTTTACACAAATCTCAGCACATTTTTTTCACTTTAATCCAGCAGAGAACTGGAGCAAGCAGTCAAGATCAGGATATGAGTCTGTTTACAAAATCATATTAATTTCTTCCACATAAACTGTTACACTTACTGTAGAATTATTCCCACAGTCATTTTTTTTCTAATGAAAGCTCTTTGTAAATGGATTAGGTGTACAATAATTTTGCATGGCATTAGGCCACGATTACTGGATTGTATTTTTTTTTTTTTTTGCTTCACTGCAGTCAGTTCACTGCAGTTTATCATAAACCGATGTGACAAAACACACAGGGACTGTAATGTAGCCCATATACAATTAAATTTAGCTTTGGGGGTCAAGTGTGCACACTTGACACATTATTAAAATGAAAAATGTTCTTTCTAAAGCTAACTAAAAAATTCCTCATTTTCCATCTCGCTTTCCACAATGACAACAAAGACTAGATATAACCAAAGCCACCTCTGTCTCTCAAGGTGAAGTACGTAAATAAAATAAAAATTCTTTTTTTTTTCCAGTTGTGGGGCCAACAACTTAAGGTCATAGACAAAAATCTTCAGTATGCTATCTGACTGCAAGGCACTTTACAGCCCCAAGATCTCCATGGTAGACCTGTTATGCTCAACAGATCCAAGGTGTACATGTGTGAATGTGAAGTAATGTATTCAATTAAAATCTGTATGCACATTTCTAAAAGCAGCCTTTCCATTTCCAAGAAGTAAATGCATTTCCTTATTAGCCTGTTTTCAAATGATGTCATGGTTGCAAGTCACTTCATGAGTCATTTGCCAAAACTTGACATAAGATTAAGAGCTGGACCTTGGTTATAAACATTGGGGGAAAGTAACTCAGGTACTGTACTTGAGTACAGTTTGTCAGTTCTTGGACACTAAATGATGCTACTTCATACTCCTACTCTACATTTCAAATGAAAACGTGACAGTTTGGTTACTAGACACTTTGCATATTAATATTCAACATATGAAACATGTAAGTTTATACAATATGATGATTAAATTAAGCCATCCAATAAAGTAGGTAAAGATCCCCGCAGATATATTTTAAGACATATAAAAACAATCAACTTTGAATAGTCTCAACAATAAAATAGTTTATTTTATTTATTTTAAAAATTACATCTACTCCTTCTCCCTAACTGAAAAAATCCTTCATCAGTGAATATGCAAATGTTGTTCATTGTAAAAATGTAACTGATTAATGCAAGACTTCTCTTTCACTTAGAGTATAAATTAGATATAAATTATATATTGGTCCATGATTGGCTCCCAAACCATGAGACAGTGGTGAGGTAACAAAATCATACCAGTGCCCCCACTCGCAATGAGAAATACACAAATAGTTGAAAAGAGCTTTCTAGTGTCAATCTCTGCACATAGCCTACTGTACATCCTTCTGCAGTAAAGGTAAAACCAAACATATAGGCTAAGTGAAGTCACATGCAAACATTTTTTTTTTTTTGCTTTTATGTTGATGCATCTATAATAATGATCCAATAATATAGCATGTACAGTAATAATGCACATTGAATGGAGATATTCTCCATAACAATTGTTCCTATTGGTTAATTTTGCAACCAATGGCCAATGCACTTTGTGGTAACAGTAAGTAAAAGATCGGAATACTTTTTATCAACTAACTATAGTCTAAATCACTGATTCCAGCAGAACTACAGCTTTTCCATCGGCCCTCTCCGTCACGTGGCTGTCTCCAGTCCACTTTGCCGGGAGTTCGTGTTGACTTTCGGGTCCGCTTAAGTCCGGTGTGCCTCAGAAAAGCAACGAGGCTTAACAGGAATCAAAGCTGTCATTCTCATTCCTGAGCTCCGGGCAGCGCAGCACACGAGCCGCTCAACACACCTCACTGTGCGCGAGCGCAAATGACCAAAGCCCGTGTTTTTAGCCGCTCTGCTGGCCGCAACCGGATCATATGACTCGGCATATTGGTAAGGCTCTTAGACCTGCTGATGGCCAGCAGTGGCTGCGCTCCATAAGACCAAAAAGCCAAAGGAGTTTAACGGATGTGTTGCTGCGATTATTCGGCCAAGTATCTTTATCCCACATTTAGATTAGCTGCTAATGATGGAGAAAAAGCCTCGTTGCAAGAAACACAAGGCCACGTAACCCGAGAACAAGGGCCATGCCTGTGTGAAGAAACAGCTTTAACCACTGTACAACACGGGCTCATTAGTCCTAATGTAACTGCAGTCGCAGTACTGGTGCTGGGCCTTGTTCTGGAGAGGACAGTGATGGAAATAGTATTTAAACCCTTTGAATAGCCCACCAATTCAAATACATTACCAATACAACAATATAACCTCACAATACTCCAAGTAAAAGTTATGTATTTAAAGAAGAGAGGTATTATTAGCTAAATGTATGGAAAGTATCAAAAGTAAAAGTGCACAATGCATACTGGCCCCCTCACACACTGTATAATATTTCATTATTATTAGAGCTGTAATACCATGTAATCAGCATTTTAAAGTTGTAGCAGGTCAATGTGGAGCTAATACTCAGTCTTATGTTAGGTGTTTTGATTGATACGACATTTTCATAATAGGTTTGGATTGAATTTTTAATTTGAAATGTAGTAGTTGTTGCATAAATGTTATAGAATCAAAAATACAATATACAATCTGATATGTTGTGGAGTAGAAGTATGAAGTAATAACATAAAATGGAAATGCTTAAGTAAAGCACTTGAAAATTGTACAATAGGCCTATTTATAGCCATATGTAGTACTCATTGTGCTGATTGGCCCCTTTCATTGTTGTATTATGATACATTATAATAAATCAGTATTACAGATGCAATAACATGTAAACAGCATTTTCTGGTTAATGTGGGGCTCATTTTATTTAGTTCATAAACTGGTAGGTAGGTTATCAATAAAATCACAACTTATAAGATTATCATAGGTTTTGGATAGATATGTTTATATGAAATGCCACTAGCAGCTGTCACATTTATGTCTTGCAGTAAAAAGTGCAATATTTCCCTCTAAAATGTGTTGAAGTAGAAGTATAAAGTAATATAAAGTGTAAACACTTAAGTAATATTGTACATTAGTACAACCCTTGAGTAAATATTCTTAGTTAATATAATTGGAACTGTTTGTTCCTCTAATATTAAACCAAATCCAAATAAAACTAAATTATCATTAGCCCAAAAGTGGCTTTGGTTAAATTACCGCGCATACAACTGCACTATGTTCAGAAATATTTATTTGGGCTTATGCATTCAAAGTAAAGGTTTACATTACACAGCAAATGCATTTTTAATAGGCAAATTCATCAATTCAATAACTCATAAAGGAGACTCCACTGTCATGAACGGTCAGAAACCTGTTAACAAATTAAGTTAAACATCAGTGAAAAACTACAACAAAGCACACTAAAAGCTTTATGCAACCACAAAAAAAAACACTGCCTGGAAAACAGGCAACATCATACTGTGGTACTTTGGAGTGCTCTTACATTATGTGTGTTATGTCTTTATTTAGCACCCACCCCACCCCGCTGATGTGCACCCCCTCTTCTTACAACAGATACATGTCACCACTAATGGACATCAAGTGCTTCTTTTCTGCAGCTCTCTTCTGGACATATATTAGAGACAGAAAACCCATTTCTCAACCCAACCCATAAATAGAGCACACACACACATTAGCTCACCTGCACACACACATACTCGTACACACACACTCTCACTCGCACACACTCTCACTCGCACACACTCACACACACACACACACACACACACACACACACACACACACACACACACACACACATGGGTGAACAATGCGATTGGAGCGACGACAGTATCGGGCGCTATTACCACACACTTGGCAGTACGTGCACACTCTTGCTGCAATCACACCACACACACACACAAAACATCAACACATTTGAGCTTTAGATACACGTAGCAGGCAGCTACACACGCACACACCAACAACGAGACACACACACACACACACACACACACACACACTTCAAGCCATTCACTCTTTCCAATGACTGCTGTGTGTCTCAGACTGCTGGATGCGCCTGACATTGATTCCAACACAGGTCCTATCTCTTGGAAATCCAAAGTATAAGTTCAAATTAACAAAAGAAAGCTGATTATTAAATATGGTAGTAAGAGGCAGAGTCAAACACAATGTCTGGACAATTTCTACATTTTTTTGTCCTTTTTTTTTGCTATAAATCTGACAAAAACCAAATTCTGCATATTTTTATTTAATGTTTTCTGAAACCATTTACTGCCTTTTGAGAAGAGGGCTGTAAGGATGTGAAACCAAATGTATAATGTTCCCAAAGTCCATTTTGTGCAATAAAAATTCCAGTGCATTTCACTTTCAGTTTCATTTGTTTTGATCATTGAAGTCCTTTGAATACTGACTGGTATCACAGCAGCAGCTGAGGGCTCTACATTCACAAACAGGATGTGTGTCAAACCTCAGGCACGAGACAGTGAACGGTCAAATCTTGCAACTCTCTATAAAAAGGAAAACCGCTGTCCTCCATTTCAGTGATTACCTCTCTCCTCTTCAGGTCAGTTTGTCCTGAATGTTCATCAGGGTGGTGTATGACTTCGCTCGCTTGGCTGTAAAGAGAGAGTCTACATTAGCAATCATGTCTTTTGCAGAAGTTACTAAAAGTGACTTAAATGACTTGACCGGTCTTATTTTGAGATATTCTAGTAACTAGTGTCTAGTGCTTAAACGAGTGTTTGTTAAATAGAGAGAAAAAAAATGACCCATTAAGTAAATTAGCAAGCCATTTTGATGATGATTTGGTGGACATAATATACATTTTGTAATAATAACAATACATTTATTTCATATTTTTCTTTTAAAATAACTCTAATTTCATGTAGATTAATCCTTTATCATCATAAAGTCAAGCAAGTGTTTTTCCCCTCGTGGAGAAAGACAACTACTACAACTTGTAAATTTTGTTTGCACCACAATCACTCGCTATTTAAGAACAAATCTGTTTGTACGATTGGTTTTTGCACGAGGTTCAATGTGTATTTGCCCATCACAAGCCATTTGTTGTACACTGAGCAGCACCGCTCTCTACCCACTGCCTTAAAAACTTCTCTGATCCTTCAAGGCACCCACCATCCACCGACACAGAAAATAATCCTGCAACCCTTGTCTATGATCCAGAGGTTTGCAGGACTATTCTAACCTAGAGCGACCCCACCTCCCTCCCTCCTCCATCCCAGCCAAAGTCCAATATCACAGTCAGTCAACCTCCAGCCCTCCCTCCTCCACAAAGACCCCATACTCTTCAAAACCCTGTCAAAAAATCTCTGTGTGTGTGACAATGGGCGAATTAAGCTGGTTACTCACGGTGTATGAGCTTGCGTTTCTTTTGTTCAGAGTGAAGGAAGCTGCTCAAGTAGAAGATGATGGGCAGAAAGAGCATGAAGCTGGACACAGCGATGACAGGCACCGTCTCCTCACGGGGGAAGGAACAATTGAAATTCTTACTCCACAGTCTGCGTGTCATATTCATCTGAAACGAGGCAAAGGGCCAAATGCAACATAAACTTCAGCTCAGATGACTGCAATTACATGACAGTGTTACTACTAATTCAACACTCTTCGGTTTCTGTTCTAAAATGTTAGCTGTATCCAGGGCTTTTTGGTATGGGAATTTTAGAACTTGCAGCTCTTATTGACAAGTCTTTTTTATGATTCTTGTATTTATGATCACATTTCTGAATCAACGATGCAAGTTCAAATTTCCATCTTTTTCACAGTGTTATTATTTTTTCATATCAGTAACTGCTAATATGAAAACATCAATCACTGAGACATTGCAAAACCAAAGTTCAGTATGGAAAAGAACATCTAATTCTATAATCAAGGCTAATTGACAGTAAGAAAGGAATGTCACACTTTTTTCTCCAAGTTCCAACTTACTTGTTGTTTCCAAACTACATCTTGTGGCGTCACTCAGCAGATGGAGTTGCTCAGTATAGCACTGAACTAATAATTTTTATGCTATTTTCCTATATATACATATGACTGTTTATTATTACCATATTTATATAATATTACACTAAATATTAAATAAATATTAGTAGAACTGTTACTATATATAGCAAACTGAGCAAATCCATCTGCTGAGGAAAGCCACTGATGTAGCTGAAAGCTTCTGAAACAACAAGGTGCACCTTGTGTTATTACCAAGGTCAAGAGTGAACTTTCAAGCTTAATGATTAATGTCACTTGATTCAACATTTTGCCGTGACACAAACATCTTGTCAGCAGCTAAAGGTGAATAAAGACCCCTCTGACTAATGTTCCTTTAGTGTCTACAGATTCCTCTAGGGGGTGCAGCTCCCTCTCTTCCCATCCTGAGGAGGAGATCTCTGCTACATACCGCATCCTCTATGTCGATACACAGAGTATGATTGTTCTCCATTCTGCTGTACAGCTCATTCAGGCCTTTGTATGAGCTTTTACAGTTTTTGCATAGCTCTGTATGATTCCCCTGTGAAGAGAAAATTGAGAAAAAGGACAACAGTCCTCGTGGTTAACTTCTGATCATAAACCAGTACTAGACAGATCAGCATCGCTACCTAATGCTGGAAGTACCTGTTGATACTTCTCAAAGCAGGTGAGAGTTTGGTTGAGAGTCATCATGAAGTACAGTGTGTCATTGGTTAGACTCTGAAGTCCCTCAGTGATGCAGTCTGCACGACAGGAAATACAAACAATAATCAGTTAGGTCTATTATTATTATTCAAGAAATGTGGACAAATTAAATCAGATCCATGATTGCATTTTGGGGCAGTTTCAACTTGGTAACATCAACAACTTTCCCCTATTTTATCCAAGAGTTGAGTTGAACCACATTTATGTTATTTTGGTTTAACAATACAACCAATCATTCCATCAGCACCTGCAAACTGCTAAGTTCCAGCAAATTGGAGCTAAAACAATTAATTAATTAGATGTTATTGTTTCAGTCATTTTCCAAGAAAAATGCTCAAGTTCACTTGTTCCTGTTGCTCAATTGTGAGGATTTGCTGCTTTTCTTGGTCTTCTGTGATACTAAACTGAAAAGTTTGGGGTTTTGGGGTATTGGTTGGAGAAAATGAGCTGGCATCACCTCGCGCTTCAGTCAGTTTCAATGGGCGTTTTTCACCATATTCTGACATTTTCAGACTGAACTAATAAATGATTCATCAAGGAAATAATCACCAGGTTAAACAATAATTGAAATAATCATTAGTTACAGCCCTAAACAAAGCAAATATAGTCTCATGAGAAAATCACACTCACATTTGATACAATTATACACTAATGTCACAAGCTGCTATGGTTTATATTGGATATCCTGACTGGTGGAGAGTCTGTCTAATAAAATTAGAGTCACATGTTTCATCTCTGCAACATTCAGTGTGCCCACCCCTCACTGAATATTGCCTCTACTTGACCCTGCACTCCCCTGTGGTCAAATGCATACCCATCATGTGTGTGAGTCAGACGTTCAAACAAGGCCACAAATCCCTAAAAACACACACACATTCACACACACACACACAATAAAAAGACAGAATACTTACATTTACAGTCTGATTTGGTCCACAGACCCTCCAGGTTGCTGTAGAGCTGATAAACCAGCATCAGCCGATCACTGCGCAGAAGACTGTCCTTGCAGCTCACATTACCAGGACCCATCTGCGGACACAGCCACAGCTGAACATACACTCAATTACCTCCTACAGTTGTATGTAATAGTTGTGTTGATTTTAGAGTATACCTCTGCAGCATAACATACATCAATAATGAGTCTTTCTTCGAATGTTTATTTCTTATTTCATGAACTTTAAAAAATAGAAAAACAATTCAACTGCATCTATAAAAAAATGTTTGTATTCCTTCTTGCTTAACAGATCAGCTAAAAAAAAAATGCACAATTTAAAGAAAGCCAGATAAATAATCGAAGTAGAAGAGACTGAAGTCGTTTTTTCCTCTAATGTGTCACAACCAGTCAGTCACATCACAAGACTCGTGACTCATGATACGACTGCGCGTAAGTGAGGCCTATCCTAAACAAAACAAAAGCACAGAAAAACGACTTTGTGTTTAGCACGTACCTGTTCCGATGATATGTTCGCGTAGATATCCAAGAGGCTGCGATAGCTGGCGAAACAGTTCTGACACACATGGACGGGTCGAGCGGCAGGTATGAGACAGTTCACGTAGGTCACGTACCGCTGTCCGAATATGTGGAGCAGCTCGCTGCAGTAGTCACTGATCTCCAGGTCTTCAGGGAAGGAGGACAGCAGACTGATAGACAATGAGGAGTCCAACGCAGACTTGAAAACAGGAGAGTTCACCACAACATGGCTCAAAGACGGCGTTTGTCCCAGTTTGTCCGCTGAATCTGAAGCGCCGAGGTTTACTCCGTCGCTGGACACGAGAGAGTAAATATTTATTACCAATAAAACAAAAAACGGGCGGGTTTTGCAAAGAGACATGCTTGTGCGCGGGGATTAGAGCATCTGCTCCTCTTCTTTCACCCTAAACAACCCTCGATTTCCTGGTTATCTCCCAACGCGATCATGTGACAGCGTGAGATCTCGCGAGATTTCACTACTCCGTGATCAGAACGGTGAGGTCAGAACACGTTCATGTGAATATGTAAGTTTTGATGTTTATACTCATTGTATACTTTACTATATACTGATATAGAGTTAACATAGTATTTTGGTTACACTTTTATTACTTAACCAAATTTTAGAATCCTGTTTTAGTACATTCTGCTTCAGTGTACTATGCATATGCCACAGTCTTCCTCTTTATTGGTTTACATTCATTTGACTTCTGTTCTGCTTTCACTGTAAGCCAGTGTGTGAATACCGTTATTTCCTCACAAAGTCAACTAATGATTCTACTTTTACCACTTTTACAGTGTATCCTGTCATCATAATAATGTCAATCAATCCCTATATAAAGTTTCACTTGAAAAAAAATCCCAAATTAATTATTATGTTTTTTATTATGTTTAAAGAGAAACTGGTGTAAACTTACTGACTTCACACTTTCACAGGAATCAGTCACCTTATTTATTTGGCTTAAAACTAAATCAATCAATCAATCAATCAATCAATCAATCAATCAATCAATCAATCTATCTATCTATCTATCTATCTATCTATCTATCTATCTATCTATCTATCTATCTATCTATCTATCTATCTATCTATCTATCTATCTATCTGTAACACAAGTTCATCACACCATGTTCATTGTGTACCTGAGACAGGCTAGTCGCTCCTCCTGGTCTCCTCATTATTTACGGGTTTTTGACACCATACAATTTTGCAACGTACGCTCGGCTCGGAGCAAATAATCACGGAGTCAAGGTAAACGATCTGGGCTCCAATCCTGATTGTGAATATTGTCAAAACCCCCTCGAATCAAGCAACCGCAGTCAATGGTCGTTAATGTGAAATTAGTGGCTCTTGATAACTTGCAGGCCGCGTCAATTCCGCAGTCATCAGAGCCTAATGAAAATGAGGGGGGGAGAAACGCGCGCAACATTAGCGGCCTATTCTGATGCCTACGCACAACTCCAGTGGTAAATATGGATTCTGGCCCCTGATGCTCCTCTCACAGCACATGGCACTAGCAGCTCATTAACTCTTCTTCTCCTGACCAGAGTTCACCTAATTGTTCAGATGTTCCCCATTCCTTTATTATTCATTTTTACTCCCAGAAATAGTGATTACAGTCTAAATCCTCTCTTATTTGTTTTTTTTGTTTGTTTTTTTTAGCTTATTGTGCAGTTATGGGTGTCCACTTGGTCACACCTTAGCTTTTTAAAAGTGTAGTTTTTGTTATATAATTAAAACAATAATTAGCCTATTATCATTATCATTATCTTCATCATCATTACTGTTGCTATTGTGCATGCCTTAATAAAACATATAGGCTTATAGGCACTGATGACATCAGGCCACTCACTCACTAAGTTTTGGATGTCTTTCTTTTGCTGGCTATAATCAGCAGAGATTTAAGTAAAATCGGCTTATCATTACTGTTAGAGATGGCCGTTGTCGTCAGATGGCAGAAAATGCCTTCATTAGCATGTGATAGATAGAGAAACCCAGAGGACAAAAATCACTAATTAGGTCCATAAATGAAATGATGGTGGTGATGAGAGCCCTTCAGGGTGATGGCAAGACTCAGCCCAGGAAGCTCCTCTTGATTTGGAGCAGGATACACAGGCTACACATGACCATTTAAAGAGAAATAGTGATCAAAAAATGACATGTACCCACCTTTTACAATATTGATGATGTGAGGGGATCAAAGAAGCCTAACAAGGGCCATTCCAGCAAGACCTTTACCCATGGAGGAAGTGCTCAGATCTTTTACAATACAACATGTACTAATACTCCATTACAAATTAAAGTCCAGCATTCAGTATCCTGCATAAGTAAAAGTACATATACATTTTACTAACAAAATGTGCTTAAAGTATGAAAAGATACACAAAATGGCCTTTATGAGAGACTTATTGTCAAAAATTACTGTATTAATAGACGCATCATTGTGTAAGCAGAATTTTGCTGTTGTAAACAGCAGGTTGAAGCAAGTCAATGTGGAACTACTTTTAGCTACTTTAATATGTACAGTTGTGTATTAATCAAATGGGTCCCAACCTGAGGGTTGGGCTCCTCCAGAGGGACATATGAGAAATCTGAGGGGTTGTAAGATTACTACTGGAGTAAGATATTAGGAAAAAAATAATTTAAAGAAAATCATCCATCCTTAGTTGGAATTTCAAATAAATATTCTGAAACATGACACGAAAGTTCAGTTTATTTTGTGTTTTTTTTTTTTTTTGTAAAACCTTGATTTACATGTACAAATTAATAATTGTAGCAGTCAGATAAATAGAAAAAATGTATAAAGCATGGAAATAGGCTACTCAAGTAAAGTAGTTACAAGGACCACAAAATTGTAATGAAGTGCACCATTTAGATTTATTTATTTACATATTTGGGAAAAGACCACAAACCAACAATAGGCTACTGACTCCTAAAAGTTTATAGTGTTTGTACCTGAAAACACACAAACACATGAGTGTATTAGCTCTGCACCTGTCAACTGTGTTAGCCTACCTAAAGATCAGTTTCGTCATTTTCGTTATGCCCAGTCTGGGCCCTGAGCTTGTGATATGAGTCCTTTCCCTCAAACTGGACAATCACAAAGGGGTTAACTCAAACCGGTTCAGCCTTAAACTTGGCTCTTGGCGTGGGGAGAGAAAATAGCTGTAAAGTTATGCAGAAGTTATTCTTCATCCTTCGGGCCGTCCCTAATCCGCCAAAAACCTCATTCTTTCATCGGAGAACTGTGCCTCCTTTCTTGTTCCCCCCTCTCTATACAACATAAAGTCAGACTGCATTTAATGGTTATGTCGGGATGGGAGAGGGGCTTTCTTCTTCCCCTTTTCTCCAGAATATTGCCCTTTTCGTCGTGTGAGTCTCCCAACCCGCAGGGACCCCCATATTCTTCCCTCCGCGTCTGACTCGAATCACAAACTAACCCTGATTTTCACCACTTTGCTGGGAATTGCGGGGAGTGATAATAGAGATTTCGCTTTCATTTTATACGCTTGACTTGGTTATTGTTGCTTTTCTCCTCTCCCGTGATTCTCCCCTTTTCCAGGGATTAGCCCTGACTTCGCTCGCTATACTGGCCGCCGAAGTGCCCCTGAGCCCCGGGATGACAATTGATGCAGATCAAGGCGGGCCCATTCTGCGCCTTTTGAAAGGGACAGATCTGAGTCGTTTTTGAATGAAGGAGTTTTAATGTTAGAAGCTGATGCTCCGCAGTTTGCTTCCCACATGTTAAATGCTAGATTTCAGATTACAGTTCTTAGGTTTTTGGTGGCAAAAATGTCATATAATAGGCCTAGTGAAGCTGTTGATGATGATGGTGATGATGGTTAGAGTAAGCATCGAGAAGATGGTGAAGCTGCTGATGATGGTGATGTTTAGGTTGCATGGTCAGTGATGGAAAGTATGATGCTGAAGAAGAAAATGATGACAATGATTATAAGGTTATGGCGACATTCATACGTGTGGTGATGGCGGTGTTTGTGCCGATGATGAGGATGAGGAAGATCATGAAAAGTTTGAGTGTAGGAGAAGTTTACTCTGGTTTTCCTGTAGCTGTCAGTGCACTAACACATAGCTCCAAGAAATAATGTTTGAAAAGATACAGTTAAAACTAGGACAACAAAGCAAAAACAAGCTTTCTTTCTACTTGCAAGGATTAGTTTAAATTTATTACTTTAAGTTTATTACTTAAACTAATCCTTGCAAGTAGGATGAAAATATGGAGTCTGTGGAGGAGAGGTAGGCAACTAAAGGTTTATACAAGACCTCTCCTAAACAGTCAAGGCGAGATACAGATGATAACAGGACTACATTATGAGGAGTGGAAAACAGCAACATACAACAGGTCAACAGATCACTGCAAACAAGGACACAAACTGTGCGAGGGTGTGTGGGAGTTCCAAGGGTGCTGGAATAAATATGTTATTTTATGTGGTTTATGTACAGTATGCGTGGACAGTGCAGTACAGCATATACAGTCTGCTTGTAAGATTTCAGATGAAAGTGACATATATTTGGAGTATGAACATATATTAGTAGTATGCACAATAAATAAATAATAGATAAGAGCAGTGGTGGAAAATAACTGCTTTTACGTGCCTTTACTCGAGTACTGCACTTTTTGAGGTACCTGTATATGTTATATATGATATATTTTATACTTCATTGTCAGCAGTTCAAGTGCAAAGAGACATTTCCCCTTCAAACTTCTCTGAAGGTTTTATTCCACAGTTTAACAGTTCATAGCTGTTATTTCAGGATCAAATAGGAAGCTGGCTCCACTGCAGCACTTAAAGATTTTAAAGGAATTTTCTGCCACTGGATGAGAGTTGAAATATTGTAAAGAGGGACAGGGATGGAGGTGCAGACCGAGAGTGTTTAACAGATATTGCAGTCCATTAGCTCTACAGGTGTCACTGTCTAAGCAGTGCAACAGTTTGAAATTGCCTGACTGTCCAGATCTGCTCATCACTGTCACGTCACAGAAGAGAGGGTTTCATGTATTTGCCATGTCTCCCCCAATCAGGCATCTCTGCGGCCCTGTGAGAAGTTAATCTTTGTTGACGGTGTGTTGTGCAGTCTTCCATGGGCCAGTTGGGTTGGGATCTCTCCTGGAAAGCCCGGTCTGTGCTCATGTAGAGGGGGGATAATTACCAAACACGCAGCCGACAGCAGCGACACAAAAGCCGCTTTGACTTCCTCACTGCTGGTCGCCTCCAGGGGATGGTCCCGCTCCCTGCTCACCCTGCTCACCCAGACCACTTCTCATCACTCCTGAGAGGCAGAGACGTCTTGTTCCATAACAAGACACGAAACTGACTTCTTTCAGCTCCAGTGAACTGGACATAAACCCAGTCTGACAACCTCCAGTGCCCAAACAGAACAGAGAGAGGACGGGTGGGCCGGGACAGAGGACAAGAGAGGGGTGGGGGTGGCAC